GTGGGTACGCTTTAAACAATTGGAAATCCTCGAGACATCGGATTGTGGCAAAATTTGCACTACCAGTCTTTAAACTAACTTTTGCCATTTTAGGTAAATAAGTTTTTATAATTTTCCATTATTGAGAACTCTAACTAACTAATTTCATGCGAGAATGAGGTGAATATTGTATTTTATCGAACCATTCTTTGATAATACAACATCAGGTGTTGCTTTATACGACTGGATTCATGAATTTTCGTGCCTCTGTCCATTCATACAACCCCTGAAGCAAGGCAAAAACGTAGCTCTTTTGAAGGCTCCAGGTGAAGGCTTGATTTGCAAATGGACTCCATGAAAGAGTATCTTCAGAGACCTCCCACTCCCAGGAGCAGTGATAGCATCCAGACTTGCCTCGCAGCCGGAGACGAAAAATGGTGGAAACAGCAGACGAGGATAAATGGTACCGAATTTTGTGTAAAATTCAATTCGGCGCTCCAACTCGGCCTTCACTTCAGATGCGCTTTGATCCAAATTATCCGAGGATTTCGACGCTTTTGAAGTAGTTGGCGGTCCTGGATTTTTGGTCCTTCCAAGAGGGTAGATAATAATCTGGCCTTTAGTGCAACACAAAGAACAGAGTCCCGAGAGGCTTACTTGACCTAAAAAGTCCTGGCTAATCCTTAATCGGTCTAATATGCCAATTTTGGGCGCTCAAGCCCAAAACCTGCATCCGGCCGTCCGGCCAGATCCACTTCTTCGACAAAAACCAATTATTGGCATAATGTTGCAGAAGCACTGTTACCGAAGCCAAGGTTACCCACAGTTAAGTGGTTGAAGAGGTGAAAGCGCATTCCCAGGCGGTGATGATGTGTACCGTCGGCCCGGCGTGGTCGAGACATAAAAAAACGAGCCGAGAAGACGAGAAACAGATAACGAGAAGGCCAAACGAAGAGACCAAACGAACGAGACTGGACAAAGGGCATTTCACGCCTCGGACCTGCAAGCGTGTGCCGCTCGCCACAGATGCCCGCATGCCTCTTAAAAGCGGTTCCGCGAAAAGGCAGAAGACGACGCCTGAAGGGTGAGGTACAGCACAGGTCAGGGTGCTCACAGTTTCAACCCGGTACATCGCGAGTGCGCATAAAAAAAGTGTTTCACTTCACTCAACCCCTCCTCTTCCTCCTCCTTCTTTTTCTTCTTCTTCTTCTTCTTCTTCTCTCCATGTATTGTTCGGTCTACACGCACTTATATCATCTAGCTCTCATAATTCTCAATGCCTCATTTTAATTGCGTCTGCCCTTCGACCGGTACCTAACCCTGAGGCCCCCAGAGTTGTCTGCCCCGGAAGTCTGTGCGTCTCGCTCGGCTGCCGAAGAGGGGACTGCAAGACGTACCAATCGCGAGTGACGCTCTCTGTTGGCACGGGAAAGGTCGCGTCAGACCTTCGAGCATCAGTCTTCCCTGGGTTCCTTGGCGTGGAAGGCAGCCGAGGG